AATATATAGGGGGGTGGGGGGGGGGACGAGTATGTCAGTATCTCACAGCTTTACAGGCGAGCGGGAAGGTCGGTCTTTTATTGGTAAGAACCATCTGGGACTCTCTCTGCCAATCATCATATGTCCAGCTGTTGGATTGATTGGCTTTCGCACGTTATCACCACAAAGCGCGCCAATCTATTCCGAGCTCAGAGAATGTTTTGGGACAAATAAACACAAACAGCCGCCTGGAATTGGCGAAAGGCGATCGTGATGGAAGGGAGGCAGGAGTAGCAACAAGGCAGAAAGTGGTTGCGAGGGCGCCTAAGAAGTCATAAAGGGGCCCAGAGAGACCACATTGCTGTAATCCTCTCCAGATCGCTTTTTTTTTTTTTTAAAGGAGTACTGGTTTGCCTCTGGCTAGCTTCTTGAACTCTACCCATCATTCCATGTTCTTTCCTTTTACAGCCTCCTTTATAACCCAGCCTTCCGAACCCTCTCACTGTCTCTACGGACTTGTTAGGGATATCCCGACGTTTCCCTCCAGCGTTTAAAAGGTGCCTTCTGTCAGGACCAGCTTTCCTCTTAAAGGCCATTGCTATTGCATGCCCTTTTTTTTTTTCTTTCCGAGCTATCTATCCCGCAATCTTCTTCCTCTTATTGTCTTTTTTTTTTTCTACATTCAAAATGTCGATATAGGCTTTAAATAAAGGCAACAACACGTGAGAGAGATTCAAATCTTTACACGCGGTCATGTCAAAGAAACCTATACTTAACATATGTGTGTGTGTGTGTGTGTGTGTGTGCGTACAAGTGCTCAGGGCTTGGTACAGCTCATTCAGCACACAAGCGAGCAGTAATTGGATTTAAATTAGGCATGTTCCTCGGCTCAAAGCTTCCTAATGTAACGTGAAACAGAATGCCCTCACTCTCTCGAGTCTCTCTCATCCGCTTATCCTCTCTCGCACAGTTTCCCACCCTTTGTGATGTCCCTCCCATTTGACCTTAATCAGTTATTATATTTCTATATCTATTTTCTTTTCAAAAAATGTTTCCCCCATTTTCCACCAGTCGAATGGTTTCAGTAGAATACAAATATACAAAAATAAAAAAAAAAACGGCCCTTTCAGGTGTATCACTTCTCCATTTGTATATGAGAACGAGCCTCGGTGACCTCATCGGCAACGTGCTGGTGGGAGTGAACACTTGACAAGTTGTTGGCAAAAGATGGAATTTGCATCCGGCGCGTGGGCACGCCCGCGGCTACACGGGGATATCCCTCTTAAGTGCGTTACATTTGAAAAGTGTGTTGTGCTAATCCACCGGGAAGGATGCAATCTCATCATCTGTTCGTGCGCGCGAGTGTGGATGTGCGCGGCAACTAACGGGCAGCTCACCCAACATCTGGACATACATATATAGTAGCCTACGCGCTTGCTGATACAGAATATTTGTTTTCCCCCCAGAAAATTAGATTGTATAATAATACAGTCTGCTCAGCGAATAAAAGGAAATGTTTGACTGTGAATGTTGTTTGTCCATTACAGGGGACGATGTGGAAAATGTCCTTTTCAGTGTGTTTGGATGCGAGTGCCTGTCCAAGTATTCAAAACAAAAGCGGTGAATCATTTTCGACCTGCCGATTTCTCAAAATGTGTCTCTGGAGAAAATCCGTTTGCGCTCGTGCCAAAAGCGAAGCAGAGTTGCTCTCGAGTGATGTTGGATTCGCAGATTAGGATTAGTTTCTGATACTTGACCAATCGCGTCATTTCTTGACGCGGTAGTGCATTGGGCGCTTCCCGAAATAAAATGACATCTTGGGTATTTGAATAATGACTTGAGTGGTTCAATATTTTCCGAGATGAAGATTTACCCATGCTCCATGACAATAATAATAGTCATAGTGATTTGACGCAAGCAACGAAAAGTCGCGCAGGATCAAATGGAGTGACCCCCACATTTTCGTAAAAAAATAAAATAAATAAATAAAAATACTCTCCAGTTGTGCTCTAGCAGCCAATCCCGTCTGATAAAGTTGAGAGTATTAAGTCTCAGCATGTGACTGGTTGTGGTCCGGGAAGTGATAGTCCGTCGGGTGCACGGCCCTGAATAACGGATGCAGGCTGATAATGGCTCCATCGAGTTCGCTCTCGGTCTTTTCTCTCCCCGCAGGGATCCGGAGCGACCTGATGCCACCGCGACCTCACGTCTGATAAACACACAACTCCGTTCGATTACATTCCGAGCCCTGTTGAGTGTTTGAGTGCTGAGTGAGGATAAAACAGATACTTTCATTTGCTGATCTCATTACGGCCATGGTTAAGTACGACACGGGCCAATGCGAATTTTTCATTTGCTTTGGTGAGATTTGCTGGAGCTGCATGTTCTCTCTCTTTTTTTTTTTTTTTCAATATATTTTGGGGGGAAACTTACTTTTCTGCTTGTGTGTGGCTTTGCTAATCACGCTGAAAAATGTGTTGATTTAAAAATAACCAAACAATCATTAGCTGAGAGAAGAAAGGGGAAACAATAAAAAAACAAAAAGCCATAAAAACTCTCGAAATCGAGCTGCATAATGTGTTTTTTGTTGTGTTTTTTTTTTTAAAAAAACTATGCCCATGGTGTACTTTGTACAAAGACATTATATTGTGATCTTGCTGGGATGATTTTTACTGGAACATTTCTTGATAATTGCACGACTATTTATGTGTGTTTGTGGCAAATGCAGACCCTGAAAATTGAAATCCTCACCACAAATTCCACCGCCACTTCCACCTCCACCATCATCGCCAACTTCACAAGCAATCAAGTGCCGCTTACGAAAAGCTAACGCCGAGAACGGCTCGCTCGCCGACATATTTTCGGAAATACACCTGCAAAGGATTTACTTGATTGTTTAATTTCACACTTGATTGGTTGACACTCCAGAAACTCAACTATTTGTGAGCAATCCATAAAAAAAAAAAAAATAAATAAAAACAGTCAGTGCTGCAAAATGTCGTCTTTAAATTTAAAAACACCCGGAATAATGTAACCAGGCACATCAGTTGTACGATCTGACCAGAAGATCACGAGTTTTGAGGTGGGGGACGACTGAAGTTAACCTCGAAGGATCCGCACGTACGTCAAGACAAATCAACAGGCTGCTCTGTCCTGGTCCCGCCTGCGTTTTCATTTGCATGTCTCAAAGATTCCCACTCAATCTTTTGACGCCTCAGTGAATATTTTCCCAGCCCCATTGGGGGAATGACGGACAGCGCTTGTCAAGATTAGACATCGTGCGCAGACGTAATTAAAGCCGACTATACTTACCCTGTGCGGGAGGAAGAGGGAGTGGACTGCCTCGAGAAGACCTTTTGTATCTGGGGACTCTCTTTGGCCGCAGATCACAATCTAGGGGGGGAAAAAAAAAACAAAAAGGGGTGATGTCGGGGAAATATAAAAAAGGGAGTCAATGGGATGGGGAGAGGCGGACAACAAAATGCGAGAACATGATTAGAGTGGAACAAGAGGGGAAAGGTGGTACGAAAGAGGGGGCGAGGGGGGCGGGGGGGGTGAGGTGACGGAAGTCAGTGTCGTATTTGTAGCGGTAACGAGGAAAGGCAGGTGTTGTCACTGAGACTGCCGCGCCCTTTGAGCTTGTTACTCTTGCCCCGCGGCCTTAACTCATCCTCGGCAGGTCACGGATATAGGAAAGAAAGTTAACTAGACTTGCAATTGTTCCCCCCCACCCACCCACCATTCCCCCACACCGATAGTCTCTCAAGTTTGTTCGAAGTTTGTCAAGGAAACTCTGATTTAATTGGTTCTCCTAACAGAAGATGCAAGGAAACAAATGGCTCCAGATTTTTTTTTTATCCTGTGTTTTAAGTTACCGTATTTTCCGGATTATAAGGCGCACCTAAAAGCATTCAATTTTCTCAAAAATTCACCCTTATAGTCCAATGCGCCTAATATAAAGAGATATATATTCCCCATTGAGTTGTTTCCCTGTTAGTGTTCCTATGCCATCTCATGGTGATTATTAACAGGAACCAATTGTAACGCAAAAGGGTTCTGCCCGACACGAATTGACATGTGCATTCGCGCACGCACACTCAAACAGACAACTACTTTGAGAGCTCTGCGCAGCCATAATGAAAGCAAGATAACACCAAAAGCATCGTTATCTTCTCAACTAAACGAAGGAAGAAGGAGACAAGCAGGACTAAATGGCGCCTGTGGCCTTTTTTCGTTTGAACTATTCAAATACATCAACACCCAAATACGGTGTACCGTTGTATGTGAACTGAAATGTGAAATGAATGCACAATAATTGTTCAATTTTTGCCCGTGTGTTTTTGTGAGACTAACCTGTTTAAGCATGTGGTGCTGTGCCATGAGTGCCCGCACCATCTCGGGTAGAGCGATGGGTATATTGGTGAGACGGTCCGAGAACGCTGCCAGTAGCTGTTGGCACCGCTGGAGCCATTCCTGCCTTCCGGTGTACTGGGATAGACGCAACAGACTGGACGCTGACACGGAGTTAGCACTGGGCTCGGCACCATCCTGATCTGGATGACAAAAAAAAAATAAAATAAAAATACGTTGTTCAGCGCATTAGATAGAGTACATTTTTATTTCTTTATAAAACAATATAGAAGCCATGTTAAACATGAACAGTGGCCACCCAAAGCTCACTGAAACTGGCCTAACTGGACCAGTGCAAATTTCATAAATAAATACAGGAAAAGGAAATTAGCACATTCTTGATCTTTCAATATGTTGAAGTGAAAATTCTTTTAGGCTTAAATAATGCAGTACAAAGACATTTAATGTGAATTGCACTGAAACTCGGATCTCACGAATACCCGTGGGCCAGAACCAGTTCTGACAGGGCTACCACAACTATCTTGCCCTGTTAAGTGATTGGGTCTTATCTTTTATCAGTGTACAACGAGAGCCCGTGGGTCATCTTCTCATGACCTACGACCCCAACAAAACGTCTGCAGAGCAACAAGACCCACGTGTCGCAGTCAACATAGCCCATGTCCTTGACAGGTGATGACGAAATGAAACCAATTCATTTTCAGCAGAGTAAGGTTGGCTGTCAATCAAAAAAAAAAAAAAATGTTTTGAAAACAGATTTTAAAATGGGAGTGCCTCAAGTCGACATCTCAATATAGATTAAACGCACAATTGGGAAGGACCCCAACGCTGCTACGGTGTCACAAATGAACCCAAGCCCATTCCCGTACCGTCACCAATACATCACAGTCAATCCTTTCATAAGAAAGGTCTCTCAAACGTCGGGTTCAATCAATAACACAGACATGTCGGTGCGACAGGCAAAGGAACCCTGACGCACATTAAAGCACTCCCACAAGCAATCTCATCACTGATCTGTCAACAGCTCACGACATTTTATTTATTTATTTTTTTGACCATTAGCTTTTTCCCCCCCATCTTTTTGTGCAAGCTGATATCCCGTTTATCACATGTGGCAGTCGGTCAACAGCTCACGACATTTTATTTATTTATTTTTTAACCATTAGCCTTTTCCCCATCTTTGCGTGCAAGATGATATCCCGTTTATCACATGTGGCAGTGACGACCACCCGCTATCACTTCACATCTGCAGTCTGGAGATTCCATTCCTGTCGAGAGGGGTTGGACTCTCTTCCATTTGGGAGTTGCCCGCGATGAGAGGCAACGAGCACATGTGGGCATGCTAATTCCCCAAATCTGCTGCCCCCACGACCTGATCACAGATATGAGGGAGAAAATGAACATATGGTTTATTTTATTTTTTGATTTTCTTACATCTCTGTTGCCATTGCCTCATTTAGACGCCGTTTTAGACAACCCGCATACGCTAGTTGTTTCATGTATTCAGTGACTGTAAACACATACGTGTCATTTGACCAAATTTGCCACTGCAGCATAAATTCAGCCGAAAACCGTCCGCAACCACAATTCCATCCACTTTCTCCTCCGGCGTTTGTTCGATGCAGGTGTGAACGAGAGCGTGAACTGCCGCGCGTCCCGACGTGTCAGCCCTGTGTGACTGATTAATGGGTCGAACCTAATGCCAGCCCCGCCATTTATTCATGAAAGATGAAATATTTTGCCTTGCCAATTAATTTTAGAAAAATGTGTGCACATAGGTTTTCATCAAGTCTGGACTCCAGCCTTGTAGGCATTTGATCAATCCTTCGCTCGATTTCTCACGTCATAGCCACAAAAAGCATTGATACTTTTTTTTTTTTTTTTTTCCGCCTGTATGAAATTAGACTCTCAGGAAACCATTTGCTATGGTTGTCATCATGGGTCAAATATTTGGGGGTGTTGATTCCAACTTTTTTTTTTTTTTTTGGTTTTGTTTTTAGAAGCTCAAAGTTCAAGGAGTATTTTACCCCCCCCCCCAAAAAAAAATCACTATGTGACCAGCTCTACCTGGCAATACGTAAAGCATGTGAACTGAGCAATTGGATCTGAGGAAAGCCTTTTTTATTGACATATTGATTTATTTTAGGGAACCACGCATCAAACCCAAGTGTCTCAGTATTTCATGACAACTTGTGATATGCCAATGATATGACTGTAAGTCTCCCTCACCTTCTTTGAGTTGTAGCAGAACAGTGCTGTCACTTGGGTCAGAGCAAAAGTAGCCTCCACCCGCCGAGTCCCAGAACAGCGCGTCCTGTCTGAGCTGCAGCTCTTCAGCCCACTGCAGCCACTCGGTTTGCATGGTGGCCTCATAGAGATCCAGCAAGCCGCAAATGATGAATGCGTAATCGTCCAGGAAGCCAGAAATAGGTGGTGATCTATTTATTTATTTTTTAAAAACAAAAAAAACAGCAAAGATTGATTGTCAAAAATGTGTGAAAAGTTGCATGTAGTCCTGGTATGTTAGCTTATATCGGAACCCAATTTGTACACTCACAAGTATTCACATAAACATTCTACCTTTAACAAATCACTGAGGAGGGGTGAGAGTTTTTCAATGCCATTATTATTCTGGATGTAGTTTCCTTTTGTGTAGAACTGCAAGTCTGCTTCACAGTGGTGAGGTTCAGGGTTCAGTTTTTTTTTTTTTTTTTGAGGACATTTTGCTTGATTCCGTAATCACTTCAAAATGCAGGCAGGAACGCGTAGAATCAGGTGCCAATCCCAAATTCGAATGATTCAGCTGTTCAAATTCCTCGCAAATCTCTGACGAGAGTCTTTTTCGATGGATGCAATTCACTTTCAAACATCACTTCCTTTTCTCTCCCCATACTCAGAGTGCAACTTTCAAAGGAGCTGAAAGAAGGTCCGGTGTACTCCCCACACTAATTGCATTCCCCCTCAGGTTCCCACAGTGGCACCATGCGTGGGTGAGTGCAAGTGGATGGAGGGTGACAAGGGGTCAGATAGCGTTGTGTTCGCAAAAGCCGGTGGACAGAGCGATGGAGACCTCAAGGAGAGTGGTCAAGTGGCTGAAAACAGGCTTTTTGAGGACATGGGGAAACTTTTGAGTGGTCTTGTTGAGGTGAGGAAGCGCATTGTTTGTCTCTCTGACAGACGGACCGAGCCACCCCGAGAGGTCTAAAGGGCAAAGCGAGGGCTCGGGAATAGAACAAGAATAAGACTCGAGGTTTTGAAAGACACATTTGGACATGGTGGCAAAGTTTACGGGGCCCAAAAAAAAAAAAAATTAGTAAGTGCCTACAGAGGACAATTTTGAAGTAAGTAGTCTTTGGGGGTATGGGAAGGTCACAAAGCATAGAATTCCATCTGTTTTTAGCAATGCTAACCATGTTCATTAAAAAAGGGTCACAAGCTATGGATAACAGAAGACTATTTGCGGTTCAAATATCAGCCTGTGCGTCAAGGAAGCCACGTGGTAAGAGTTCAGCAAGTGTGACGGACGTTTCAGAGAAGCGGAGACATTATGAAGCCGCTACACCAAAGGAAAAAAAAAAATATTATCCTGAAAATGTCCCCGCATTATCACAGCTATATAAAAGTATGCCCCCCACCCCACCACCACCACCACCACCACCAGCAACCACATCACAGTGGCAGTTTGTCTCAGATAATAGTGTCTCCATCGCACAAGGACATGTCAGTTGCTTGAGGTGACCAGTTAAAAGGACGACGGCCCTCAAGAGAAAAACTCTTAAAGAGATTAAAGCGTGTTGGAAACATTCAAGGACCTTTTTAATTCACCCCGCCCGATCCACTTAAAATGTTGGAAGCACAATTTGGAAAACAAATGGAGAGGAACCGTACAAAGGCACGAGTCAGAACGCTGTAATCTGATTACTATTGCATTCCTGGAATTATATTTAAACAAGATACTGAACGTAATCGGACGAAAACATTTACCAGCTGCAGGCCGGAAATAACCGCAAAGTGCCCGTAGAGGGCCGACCGCTAGCATAGCGCGCAATCGAACTGTCGCCTGAGCATTGCAGACGACAGTGGATTTTGTCGCTACTATGCTGATTAGTCCGTCCTCAGCTTGTCTGTTATTTTCTGCAATTATTAACCGATTTTAAATGGTCAAATATATTTTGTTTGATATTTAATTCAATTTAATAAAACGAAATATTTTTATATTTTGTTCTTCAACTTCTTCCTTTCATAACTTTGCTGCTGTGAATTGGGAATTTCTCCATTGCGAGACTAATCAAGGATTGCTCCTCTTATCTTATCTTAAAATAGCTTCAGAACAAGTCGAATTAACGCTCTTGAAGATATGTGGTAAAAGTCTACCTCTTCCCTCACTCTATTCCTTGGGCGGGTCCCTCACAATTGAAAGTCTGGATACGTTTGAACAAACCTGTTTTGTTAAAAATAAATAATTATAAAAAAAAACAAAAAACAATGACGCTCATTATTATTAGCAAACGGAAATAATTTTGGTTGTCCCAATTGACGGCAAATAAAGTTTAGTTCAATTTCATGGAAAAAAAAATTTAATGCGTTGTTCTATATAGTGTATGTAAAATTCTGTTTCAACTGTATGTGCTCGTAAACGACTAAAATATATCGAAGTGATTTTTACAACATTTAACTTATATTCAAGGTCATTCCAAAAACATTTCAGTACCATTTCCTCATTTCATGACATTTTCATTTGAGCCTGATTGTCGAAGTCATTATGACAATATCCAAAACAATTCCACGATGGCCAAATTGTTGTAGATCTCCAACAATCCTTGGCCCTAAAAAAAATATCCAACATTTTCGAGCCAGGAAAGGAGCGCAGGAAAGGATCGCACCTCACATCATCTTTCGCATCGGCTAATCAACACGTCCCCAACAATTAACCCAGTTAGCCGAGGTAGCAACCATTGCTCTTGCTAAATGAGCCCACACCCTCATATGCGCCTCATATGACATATACAAAAGCTGCGTCGAGCTGAGAGAAAATCGCCACGATAAGCATTCTCCGTGCTGACACACAAGCGAAGATGACAATTACGAACGAGACGGGAGCTTCGGATCAAGGCCACGGTGTTCAAGCAACTCGCGTGTAGCTCTTCATGTGTGTTTAAAAATGAATGCCTTGTCTCTTGGGTGTTGTGGGACACCTGGCATATTTGTATTTTTTTTTTTTCTGCTGAAGCGGCGGTTTTATACACTCGCTCATTCACATTAACTAGGGCGCAGCGCTGGCCAACAGAACCAGGACACCTGCAGCCTTGCAGTGAGCAGGAGAGTGAAAATACGTCCGCGCAAACGCAACTTTGGACAAGTGAACAAAGCGTTTGTTGCTTGCTTTAAAGACGAATGTAATCGGCCGGTTTCTCAGTCAAAAAAAAAATAAAAAGGCTGTGAGCTGGAAAAGGTCTTCGGCCACAAGGTCGTATTCACGCAACAGGCTTACATAATCAGTTTAAAATATGGCCGCCAACCTTGTTTCAATCGGACGGCACAATGAGACTGCCGGGAGGTAATGCCATTATGGACTGCTTCATGCAAATGCAGAGTTGACTATAATGAGGTTAGCGCGTCATGTTTTTTGGGCTTCCCACAACTGATCTGATTTCCCCCAATAGGATTATCTCTTGTTCCCATATAGGCATCATTTATTTTATTCCAGGGATGAATTTGTAACATTTCAAAAGTGAGAGACGCCACGCAAAAGTCTTCCCCACGCAACCGGATTCATTGGTCAAGATAATCTGTCTTTATTTGAAGCTTAAACTTTTTTTTTTTTTTTAAAGGTCCTACCTACTTCAACATTTGAGTGATGTATATTTTCAGGGCGCACCTAAAAATAATGAATTCCAAGTCTATCACTGTGCATTTTGCATGCGAGAGACTTTGCTTTGCACCCTAATTAAAACCGTACCCTCAAGGAGGAAACCATCAAACCTGGCAACGCAGCCCACCATGGTTACATTTACTGTTCAACTCCCGTCACACGTGACCTTAGCCCAACTTTCCTGGAGCTAGGGTTAAGCTCGGTGATGCAGGCACACAATGGATCGATTTCTGATTAAAAAAGTGGAAAAAAAAAAACAGATCAGATGGACAGACAGACAACACGAGTGAGGAAAATGAGGTTGACGAGGCCGCAAACGAAAGTCACCATGAAGATGCATGAGGGGGACAAGTCGCAAGCGTTCCCAGGGCGGAAAAAAAAAAAAAAAAGTATGAGATAATAAACCACCGGAAGTGGATAGTGCGCACTTGTTTCCATTCTACAATTGTTTTTTTTTTTTTTTACTTGCATGCGCTGTAACATGCGCGCAAACGGAGCTGCCACATTATCTTCAATAACAGAATCAAATGAAAAGTGATAAGATGACTTCACGACATGAATGTGCCTGATGCTTTTTTGGAGTCTCACATGTCATTGTGCTACACTCTTCTACCATCTTCTGGTGTGCTTTGGTGATGTAACCAACCGACTGACACCTTTGATTCACACACACACACACACACACACACACACACACACACACACACACACACACACACACACACATACACACACACACACAGACACAGACACACACACACTTACATCTGCTGCACCTCCATCTGGTCTCCACGGTAACAGGATCGCAGAATGGTCTGCCTCTCCGCATCCCACAGGTGTTCCTTCAGGAAGTGGCCGGCGTGCGCCGCCCTCTCCAGCAGCGCCTCGTCCCCGAGCGCGGCTCCGACACGGGCGTAGGCTGACAGCATCAGACCTGTCGATATGCGATGATGATGAAGAAGATGAAGATGATGATGATCAAAGACAAAAATGGCGCTTTGCTAAAATAGGGCGGCTGAAAATAGCGGGTCTTCTTTCGAACCGCGCGACACAAGCAGAGGTATTTTCCCCGCCCTTTGAAGTCTTATCGTTGTGCTCTCTCTCACTTACGCACTCATTTGCTTCATGTTTTTCTCTCCATTCCCCTTTCATGTCGTGTATCAAAGCCCGGGGACGACACCGTCTGGTCTTCAAAGTGCTGCAGTCGAGGACAGGTGACTAATGGGGGGGGGGTTTGCTTCATTAGTGAGGAATGGGGGGAGTATTCTGTCTAATTGGAAAGTTCCCAGGAACGCAGGGCCTCATTAGCTCGCTAATACAATCTGTCCTGTGATAGACACTGAGTGGGAGTCAAATGAGGATCCCCCCCCCCCGCAATATAAAGGATCTTTTTCTTCAATGTCATCCTGCCACTAAGCGTTACATGTATTTTTCATTTTGTAACAGGAACACTAAACACTCATCTGGTGTGTTTTTAATGATGGAACCGGTCGCTACACCATAAATGTGCGAAACCCTTCAAGATTCCACACAGACACAAGTGAGTTTGACGAATGGAATAAGAGGAAATGGAAACATAATGCGAAAGATGTTACGTTCTATTTTATGGGGAAGCTATAGTACGCGTCTTCAGTCATTTCAATCCCAGCTGTCTTCGGGCAGGAGGCGGGGCACACCCTGAACTGGTTGCCAGCCAATCGCATGGCACACATACACGAACAACCATCCGCGCTCACAATCACACGTAGGGGCAAATTTAGAGTGTTCCATTAACCCGCCGTGCATGTTTTTGGAATGTGGGAGGAAACTGGAGTACCCGGAGAAAACCCACTTAGGGCACGGGGAGAACATGCAAACTCCACACAGGGAGGCCGGAGCCGGAATCGAACCCTCCACCTCTGCACTGTGAGGCCGACGTGCTAACTAGTCGACCACCGGGCCACCGAAGCTTGACTGCCACCCCCCCTCAAAAAAGACAGCAAGTGTGTGTGTGTGTGTGTGTGTGTGTGTGTGTGTGTGTGTGTGTGTGTGTGTGTGTGTGTGTGCGTGTGCGCACACTCTTGTCTCTTTACCATTCCAGGAGGCCAGCATCTTGGTGTCCAGATGCGGGCGTGGCCGAACCTTCCTCGCTTCGGCCATTTTGGCTCGCGCCGAAGCCAAAAGCTCATTGACCGTCTCCACACTAACGCCGAAGTGCGCGGCTGTCAACTCGGCGGAATACCGCACGATCAGCACATTCTGGCCCTGCAGCTCCCCGTGAGGGTCCTGGGGGGAAAATAAATAAATAAATAAATAAACAGAACAGATATGAAGTCATACTTGGCATAATTTCTGACTTCACCTGTCATGCGTAGGTTGCACAAGGGAGGGTTGAATAAAACAAAAAAAAAAAAAAAAAAAAGTAACTGTATGAACAGCATCATCGCACACCTGTTCGGGGGCAACGTTGCCTTGCTCTTTCACTCCATAATGGTGCATGAAAACATCGGCGAGGTTGGCGGATCCACTGGCGCCCACTGCCACGTCAGCCAGCAGCTGGCGAACCTCCGAGGCTGTCCAGACGCAAAAAGCCCCCTCGCGCTTTTCGGATCCCCCTGATGTTGGGAAAGAGTCTGCATCCTCCGCACTGTAAAAACCCCCAGACTGTCGAAAGAAGTACAGCGAGGGAGGTGGAGATTTAACCGCGAGCTCGTTTGAAGTCAATAACTCCAAATCGTTGACGTGAATCATGGAAAGCGAAGCTGCGTAGCAATCAGGGGTCATTCAGATCGAAAGATAAAAGGAAAATTTGATGCAAAAAAAGTTTGTTACATAACACGCATCCTTCACAAGCCCCCGTTAGAGTAAAGGAACGCACGAGCAAGAATTATCCGGGATTCACCTTGTCACTCAAGTCTCTGGAGACGTAAAGCAGGATGTCCTTTGCCACTTCCGCGAAAACCTGCTCACCTGATACCTGAAGAAAAAAAAAGAAAGAAATTAGGCAAACAGATGCTCCGAGTCATGATTCAACGTTAAGGTAACCTTCAAACTGCTGTTGGGTGATTTATGCGCCGTATGAATGCTGAGATGGTAAAACTCTCGCCTCATTATGTCCAAACGTGTGTGAGACTGTTCATAGTTGAGCAAGCCAGCACACATGTAGCCCTCATTAAATTTGCTTTTTTTCTTTTTTGTTGGTACATCAATGATATTCCAAGAATTGTTCTTTTCGAAAAAGACACAAATCTGTTTGTCTATGTAGCATTTATCCTTTGCCACTTATCCGGAGTCGCAGGGGTACCAGCCTAGGCACACTGCCCTCTCATTGACAGTGTCAAAGGAAAACTTTCACTGACAAACACTGTCATTATTCTAGATAATGACTATTGTTTTATTTTTTTTAATAATAATAAAAAAACTGGGTAAGCATTAATTGCCCTGTCAGTTGCGTAATGAAGACGACATTCACAAACAAGCGCTCACCTGGAAGGCAGTTATGTAGGCGATGGCAAGCTGGGCCTGGTCGTACAGCATCTTTTCAAAATGTGGAACGTGCCAAGAAGAATCTGTGGAGTAACGATGAAAGCCCTGCGAGGGACAGACGCACAGCAATTTGGGAGCGTGAGGAATTCCGCTTTGTGCTCACGCCGGAGCCGAAATGGTTTGGCGAGCGTGAAGAAAAACCTGGGCGACATGGTCGTGGATGCCACCCAGCGCCATCATGCGGAGTGTATGCAGAGCCATCTGCAGAGCCTCGACGCCCTCCGAGGTGGAGCGATTCACAGACCAGAAAGACATGAGGAACATCAGATTGACTGGAAGACGTAGAGGCGAAAGGAAGTTTGAGTAGCAACGAGGCCAAACACACAGCGGCGGCCGCTGGGCCTTCGGTGGTCGTGCCTACCCGGTGTGGGAAACTTGGGAGCATCCCTGAAACCGCCGTACTCTTCTTCGTAAGAGTGGGCCAGCTGCTGGAAACAGCGTTGAGCCACATCAGGAGCCAAAGGAGGACTTTCGCCCGGGGTCGCCACCACGGCCGTGCCTTTTTTCAGCGCCTCGAGGATCCTGTCCCCACTGGACTCCAAGTTGGAGCGGTTGTGCTGCCACTGAGGGGGATGACGACAACTGGCATCATTACCGTGTGTGCTGAAAGAACGGAATGAGCATGAGAAACTTGTTACGATACCTGTTGCATGATTCGGGTCAGGACAGTCTTAAAGCCGGGTCGTCTCCCGTGGTCTCTGGGTGGAAAGTAGGTGCCGCCGATAAAAGGGCGGAGATCAGGGGTTAACCACACACTCATTGGCCATCCTCCACCTCCACTTGTTGCCTGGAGACAGCGGAGGTGGAGACCTTAAAGTAATTCATTGAAGTCATTTGCGGTATTTATAAAAAGATGAAACTGTGTGCCAAAGTACCTGAACGAAGGTCATGTATACTTTATCCACATCCGGTCTCTCCTCTCGGTCGACTTTAATGCAGACAAAGTTGTCGCTGAGCAATTTGCCAATTTCTTCGTCCTCAAAAGACTCCCTCTCCATAACGTGACACCAGTGGCATGTTGAGTAGCCCACTGATGGTCAGAAGGTTCCAAATGTGACGATTTTTTTAAACAGAGGGGGAGAGAAAAGTGATTGTGTAGAACATATAAACTAGAGAAGTTGACTCTCAGAATAAGTACAGCTAATACAGTCACGGATAGGGACCGGGCCAGCACGCAAAGACCAAAAATCTGGCTATAATTAAAAGCCATTGAAATGTCTTGGTGGAAAGGAAATTCCAACCCAAAACTACAATAAATATTGATAAAAATTATATTTATAGTTTGTTTTTTTTTCTTCAGGAAAACCAGGGGTTAATCTCAACCATTCTTCTTAAATAAATATCATACCAATTGATTTAACGATAGAATTGAATAATATATTTTTTAAGTATTATAATGAATCCCCCGCTAAAAAAAAAATAACATTTGTATTATTTTTTTTTTGAAGTAAAAAATACAAAAACAAATACCTGATAAGAAGATGGGTTTGTCGTCATTTCGTGCCTTGTCGAAGGCCTCCTGCCCCCACGGATACCTGAGAGGATTTTAGTAATAGAGTCCATCTCAGAAAAAGTTCAGAAATGCAGACCTATCTGTGGTTAAACAGCAGTCTGACCAGTCAACGGGGTTGTGCGCATGTTGCAGCAGGTAGGGTGACCTCTCCTTGGCGAGCCTATTGGTGTGTCTGGGAGGCGTTGCGGGTGGCCCTTCTCCCCCTGATGCCATGCTCGTGAAAGGAGATAATCTAGGCACAAAAAATATTTCAAGTGGAACACATACAAAGATTAGCTGGGTAACATGTGCCTTAATGTTCCAAATTATGGTTGCTATAGGACCACCTTTGAGTTGAATAGGACGGCTATGTTCAGTATGTACGCTTTTCGGCTTCCGTAGCTACGTACATGGAAGTGCGGATTATCATTGAGCGATTTGCCATTTATGGTTCCTGTTTTACGGGGAACAATTAAAACACCCAAAATGTCACTCAAAAGAGACAAAGGACCATGGAATTGTTTCCCGAAATTCGGCCACGTTTAATTTAGTTTATCCCACGCCGATGACAGTTGTTATTGTTTTAGCTAACTAAATTGAATCCTGCAGGAGCTGTCCCATCATCATGACTCGACATGTCTTGCAAAGGCAGTAACACAAGCAACTCGGTAGAGATTCGTTTTTCCTCAAAATGCAATTATGCCGAATAAAACTATAAGGCACTAAGATAACGGCTGTAAGTGTTCATCGAAGTCTTTATGTCCACGTGTCGTCAGGAATATCTGGAGAGTTATAAGGTCTCTGATTTAGTATCATAGTCTCGCAACAGAAACACCTCAACGAATACTAAATATGCAAAGAAATCTGTAAAACATACTCTGGGCGTATTCTACCGTAAGCATGAGCGAACTCGCCGCGTCTCTTACCTGAGGAAGTGGAATGTTGTTGACCTGACGTTTGGTGGTGGTTGTTGGTGGCGGCGGTGGGTACAATGTCGGAAGAACTTTCCGGTATTCCCCGAGTTTGTGTACGAAGGGGTTGTGTGCCTGAGGGCTGCAATGACAAGACGCTCGGGTTGCACCCGGCTATATTTGGACGTCAGGCGACGCCATGCCAGTCTGAGCATCCTAATCCACAAAGTGTGACAAGCTAGCCTTTAGCGTTGACACTGTACCTTGCCCCAAACTTGCTAAATTGCTACACAGGCAAGCATGAGGAGGTGTTGTTGTAATGCCATAAACGGACACGCGGTGTCGCCAAATACCGGTTGAGCACAGACGGTACGAAATACGCGAGAATAACGATTAAAATGTAACTTGAGTTAATATCTTGGAACGACCAACATTTAGTTCGCTTTTTTTTTAAATGAAAACTATTACACATAGCTTTTTCAATTATTTTATGTCAATGTTAGACGGTACTAGGTTCCACGCTATTTTTACATTTTTGACAAATATTTCCTGTGACAAGGCATCACATTATTTCAAGTCAAGAATTTCACAAGATATCCCACTGTTATTACTGAACAACAAACACTGAATGCAAATTAAAAACGGAGCTTAATGTTGCAAATGATCACACATATTGATATATTTCGCAATTGTTTTGAAGAAATGCAATTTAAAAGTACACAAATGCAATGTAGCAAAATATTAAATACTTCCTGATTAGAAAAATGTCAAAAAAAAGGTATGCACTGTATTTCAGAAATACAAAAAAATCTAGGATTAAAAAAAGCAAAACCCTCCACAAATGTTAATACAAAATGTAAGGAAGTTTGAAACAAAGCGAAATCATCATTTTCAATTTATCGAAACAATCAATGGAATTTTGAAATAGAAATGTTTAGGAAGGTCCCTCAGAGATCCAAGCCTTCCTCTTTTTCGGCGCCCCATCGCTGATACGTCTCCTTATGCCCTCTTCGCTATTTGGTCTGACGAAGGGGAGCCCGCTACTTCCACATGGGGAAACTCCACCTTGTTTTAGCCACAACCTTTGAGCTGCATCGGCTGAGTGCGAACTTCCAGAATGCCACGCTCTCCTCTTGGGAAAACCTGACAAACCAGGAGAATTTACAGGATGCAAACTGGAGCTTCCGATCGTCGGCTTTGCTGCTTCGGCTGTGTCACGAGACACATGATACTGTAGATGCACTGATTCAGATTCGGAGTGAGAGTTCCGTGTACGTTGGAAGAGGTGAGCCGGTGCAACTGGGGGCTGGATCGTGGAAGGAGTGAAAGGAAACATGCCCGAAATGGAATTTTGTGGATTTGTGTAAAGCAGACCTGTCCTCCTGCGTCTTATTTCACCTTTCGGCCTCCCATCACCCTCCTGATCCTTTGGATTTGCTGATTTTTGGAATCTCTCCTCACATGTTTCCTTGTTCCTGTTCTTCTTTTTTCTTCTCCTGGACAGAATGTCTTCAAGTTCAATCTCCAGGTTGTTCAAATCTTCAGTTATTTGAGTGACCCGATCGAACTGAGAAAGCAAGGCATTTACACACGGTAGCAGGTGGTCCAGGAAAGGCTGGACGTCAAACCCTTGTTCAGAAAGCGCGGAGTCCTCAGACAGTACAGAGAGGGACGACGACAAGGGACGTGGAGATGAAAAGGAAGGTGAGGAGAAGGAGGAGGAGTGAGATGATGGAAGGGAGGAATAGAGAGTGGAAAGACGGGAGTCCTGAGAGGCTCTGGAAGGAGGAACGTCCATGTCTTCAAATTTCACCCTGTGCCTGAACTACAACAGAATGGAAACAGGCCAGCATCAGTGACATGAAGTCACTACTTTTTATATAGACAAGTACTATCTGGGGGGGGGGGGGGGGGGGGGGGGACGTTTTCCATTCATGACACAAGCATGCAGAGAAACAGCGTGCAGGTGCGCTAACTGCTCACACATCATGCTGCACGCCTCGATAAAAAAACTCACTTCTTTAGCCTTTCTGAGTCCAATCCACAGCTTGAGTCTCTTGATGAAGAACTCCACCATCTCATAATCTTGCGGTTCCGCCGCGGGACGATAAATGTCTGCTTTCTCAGCCCTCGAACAACACAACACAAGACACGTATGCATGCAAAGTAATCACAAATCCGAACATTTTGGAACTCAATTGTCATTCACCGACATTGCTGTTTTGGTTTTCATGGTTGAGACTCAAATTGTTTGTTCTATTTTATTTTTTTATTTTTTTTATTTTTATGGTCCACATTATAAATTATGGACAGGTGGTTCATAATCTGACATCTAATTGGAAATTAGAACCACTCTATAATAATTTAGAAGCCATTCAAATGTCGTTTCAGTTGCTTTGGCCATTTCTCAGGAAGGAAAGACAATCACAAATGTTGGACAGTACCTGTACGCCCGAATGAGAACAGCCCCAAAGAGTTTAGCCAAAAGCCAGACACCTGCAGCCGTCAGGAGTAAGCCATACAGAGGGCCGAGAACAGGATGGACCCTGCATAGTCTTTGGAGGCCAAGCCGACCACGCACAATGGACATCAACGACACAAAAACCTGATGCATCGACAAAAAGCCTTCCACGGACTGCGAGAAGAGCTGAAACCAGAGCAGAGATGTCAAATCCAGTTCTTGTTCATATTTGAATTTTTTTGTCTTTTTTTTTTACCGTTTTCCCGAGGTGAGTACTGAACAAAATCAGCAGCATTAAGAGGAAACTTAAGGTCCACAACTCCTTCCAAGCTCTGTTCAGGACTCTGATGATCACGACCCACCTGCGCACAAATCTTAATGTTCCCAACAGCTGGGAAACAGAATGATTAAGGGTGTATTTAATATTTTGTAAAATCACAGGTCAGTCTAATTATGCGGGTGTTATGGAGAAATGCAGCTCCCAGTTACCTTTAGGACCAGGAAAGTCAGTAAGACAGCCGCACATTGAGAAGACTTCTGAGCCAGTCGAGCAGCGCCATGGAAGTTGACGAAGCTGTCAGGCTGTGCCCGCAGCTACATCGTAGGAGAGGATCAGATGCACATTCAAGGACCAAAAATATAAGTCAAAACTGCATCCATCCATCCATTTTCTGAACCGCTTCATCCTCATAAGGGTCGCGGGGCGTGCCGGAGCCTATCCCAGCCGTCTTCAGGCAGTAGGCGGGGGACACCCTGAACTCGTTGCCAGCCAATCGCAGGGCACACATTCACGCTCACACCTCGGGACAATTTGGACTGTTCAATCACCCTGTCATGCATGTTTTTGCAATGTGGGAGGAAACCGGAATACCCGGAGAAAACCCACGCAGGCCCGGGAAGAACATGCAAACTCCACATATGGAGGCCGGAGCTGGAATTGAACTCGGTACCTCTGCACTGTGAGGTTGACGTGCTAACCACTGGACCAGCGGGCCACCCCAAAACTGCATAATAGAAAAATCATTTTGTGGAGCGTTATTTTTCACTGCGCATCAGTGCAGATGACATTTATTGGCTTGGATAGATTGGTCTTACTCAATTTTATCTCCAACAATAAAAGCACAAAAATTAGGCCTAATTACTGCTACGTTTGCCTTGTGGAAACATGCTGCCTCTCATAGGTCGGTCGTGAGCCTACGCCGGCCTTCTCATTGTGTTGAGGAAGGGGAATGAAGTTATATCTCAGAATGTGCCCATCTTGTTTGATCGTACATTTACCTGGGAAACACAGGAAGTGGCCTGAGCGCGAAAACAGAGATGGAGCACACTTGTCGCCAAAGACAATGCGGCCAACAGAAGCTGGAGCCAGTGTTTGCCTTGAGACGGATACTGAGCACGCTCACTCGCCATCGACCGCAATTCCCCAATTAATATGAGGAGAGCAGAACCGAGAAGGAAAACCTGTCAAAAATGAAGCCGGATCGTTCTTATAACTGACTTGAGTTTGAAAGTTGACGCCTCGGGTTGGTTTTACCGTCAGGGCCAGATGGAGGTCTAAGCCTTCATGAGACGATGGGATGAGGAGCGGGTAGATTGAGAGGGAGGAAGTGATTCTTTGGGTCCAATCGAGTTGGATGGATAGACATAGACATAACCTCGACTCTCTGTGGTACTGCGTAAAATCCAAAGAGAGGCTTTTGAGCCTAAGGAAGAAAAAAAAAGGACAATTAGCACAATTTGCATCAAATGCGAAACATTTTTGACATTTTGGGAGATGACGCAGTCAATCTACTAACTGCTTCATGCAAAGGCCTCCCATATGTAGCTCGGCCAGGGCTCGATGTGTCGCCACGCTGCTGTTTCCAAGCGTGACCTGCCTCTGGCCCAGTGTGTGCGCGTACAAGAGACGTGGCGACCCCACAAGGCGGAGCAGCGGGTTTTGGTGCAGGTATGTCACCAAGGTGCTGTTCATCCACTGCCCGGCATCTAAACAGCTGCAATCGAAGTGACACAAACCGCAACATTCCTCAAAATTTGCTTTGCTTTCTCGGTCTGATTATACAAAAGCGGCATGCTGACTTTCTGATAGATGTTAGATTTGGGCTGCCCAACGGAGCGGTGTGAAGCTGGCGCCCAACAGCCGAGTGCAACTGCCTGCCCTGCCTTCTTTCCACACTGTCCTGGTAGTTCACCATGAGCACCAGCAACAGAAATAGCAGCTGGAACGCACAATGCTTCAAAAGAGATGAAAACGGCAGTTCAAAAAAAAGCATGACAGCCAGATGTTTTTTTTTTCTTTTCTTTTCTCACCCTCATGAGTGACTTCAGCGCACGGACTTTCCGAGCCTCCTCTTTAGCCTGCAGCAGTCCGTAGCCGCAGGGTGGTCGAACCTTCCCACCCTCTTCTAATAATGATCTCGCCACTGTGGTCTCCTGGGCAAGTTGGTCCTCCACCTCTGGATCCACAGGTCGCCAAATGGCGGTGCAGATCAAGGCCTGAATGCACACCTAACGGAGATAGAATTTCCGCTGAGGTCCCGACTAAGAAGGACAATCGACCCGTCGGTGATGAAACCGAACCTTGAGAGGTTCCAGCAGGAGAGCAGAGGCGAGGAAGGCAGAGAGCGTGGATACGAGCCACATGAGGACAACCGTTCTGGAGAAGAAGCTGCCGTAGATTCCCACGAGAACCAGGCATGCTGCGATCAGCGCAGCCACGAGAGGGTAGATCACGCACAACACCCAGGGAGGAAGCAGCCAGCTGGGCCGACCTCGAGCGATGCCTAAAGCGGGGTACAGATTTTTGAACATTTTAGCATGGTGCGTGGAGACTGCTGGAAATGACTGAGAAAACAAAAGCGTCGAAGTAGAAGGGGGGAAAAAAATGAAGAAGCTACTGTCGGTTAAGTGGTAGATTATTTGGTAACTACAGTGCTGTGGCAAACTCTTCTCCATTTTAATTCTATTCCAGTGAAAGATAAAAAAATAATAATTATCCACCTGTTGCTGAGCCTAACACCCTTAATTATAAATAGACATATTGCACAATTTATACCATTCATTATGATTATAATTTATTATTATTATTATTACAATGACAGATTCATATTCAGGACAAAAAAAAAAAAAACAACTCCAAAGTTTTAACCCCATCTCTAATTTTAAAATGTAGTCGAAATTACCGTATTGGCCCGAATATAAGACGGCCCTGATTATAAGACGACCCCCTTTTTCAAGAGTCAAGTTTGAACACCAAATTAATTTTTATTCAGAAAATAATTACAGTGCATCTGAAACAAATGATTATA